AAAGACCAGACCAATATTTAACTTGTATCAAGCTAAAAGGTTAGACTAGACTCAAAATATTGTTCATAGACTTTGCCTATTTAGATTAAAATTTGATTTGGTCTGACCCATTTATGCACCCCATTTGACAAATCGATAATTATGAATTTGTTTTGTTCAACTGGTGAGTTGTTCCACAACTCATCCTAGTTTTTTTTATCTATTTATCTTGGAGATTATTTATAAGAGCAACGATAAAACAAAGTTATGAAATAAACCAATTTCAACCTGTTTTAAGGATATTCTTGTCCATTCTCATTATAAAAGGAGCAAACCGATCGGGAAGAAACTCTTCTACGTACGTTTTACCTTATAATCTACGAGCTTTAACTTGTTTTATAAAAAGGTGTTTTTCTTGTGGCAGAGAAAAACAATCTCCTACATACATATGAAAGATAGGGAAAAAAGAATAGGGGAGAGAAAATTTTTTAAAATAAGTCCCACAATTAATTTGTATCAAATGCATGAGATTATTATTTCTCTTATAAAAAAGAGACAGGACATTGTAATAATCAATTAATGTCAATTTCACCGTTAGATCGATTATGTTAATCCAATGATTATTTATTTTCATCTTTGTATGGTTACGGTTTCCCATATTTAATGCGAACTTTCGCATTAAATATGAGAAATCATAACCATACAAAGGTAAAAATAAATATAAAGTATTAAATATGGAAAATCATAACCATACAAAGATAAAAATAAATATAACCGTTGGATCAATATAATCGATCTAACGGTGAAATTGATTGGTAGTAATACTAATTGGTTGTTACAATATCCTTTCCCTATAAAAAAGGGTTAATGTTTCTCATATTATAGGGGATAAATTTTATCTCCTACACATACATAAAAGTGCGTGGGACTCATGTGAGGTGAAAAGAGAAAGAGAAAATATGTGTTCCACATACTTTTATGTGTGTAGGAAATAAATTTATCTTCTATAACATAAGAAATAATAAACCCTATAAAAAATGAGTTTAATGTTTCTACAGTAAATGCATATAAGTTATCTGCATTTACTCCCAAAATGACATCGTTTTGAGTTGAAAGATTAAAAAAATTATATGATAGATACTATTATAACATAAAAATAACTTGATTTCCGCCTCAAAATGATGTTGTTTTAAGCTAATTAAAAATAACTTATATGGATTCATTGCGAAAAAAATGTACTAAAAAAAAATAAAAAAATCTTACTTACATAGTGCTTAGGAAAAATAAAGTTGCCTCATTTTATGATCCACAGCACGCCATAAGGCCCAATAAGAGAATTACAACATAGTATTTTTAAATATGATTTAAATGCAATATTATTATTAACAATTAAATTCAAAATCTTTTAGGGAATGTAGTTTGGTATGACTAATCGAGTAACTTCGTAGTGGATAAATGTATTTTTCAGCATAATTCTTGTCAATCATATTATCAAATATATAAATGATTTTTAATTTTTCTTATGCAGCTCTAGCAGAAGGCCTCATTTGGCTAAGTGGCATACATAGATGTTACATGCCATGTCAGAAGAAACAGAGTAGCCTAACAATTACAATAGACCGTACTTAAGTAATGAAAATAAATTTGCAGCATACTTTATTTTTATTAATATTTTTGGACCCTGCCTCTACCACCATGGTAGAATTAGTGTGACGGGCCAACCTAATGGTTTTCGAAGATGGGCTGGAATCGTAGCCCAACCATCATATGAACAAAAGTATGTTAGTGTTTGTTCCTCAAAACCAGAAGTAGTCGCCGAAGATTATTTCATAACCGAATCAACCCTAAAACACTACATTTCTTTTGTTAAAAGTTATTTTAAAACCTTTGAATAATAAATCCTACCCGCAAAAAATTTCAATTCAAAAGTATTTTTCATCTTCCAATTAAATATATAAACTTCTTAATCGCTTTAACCCAAAAAATAAGCTCATCATCTCCATAAGCGTCATCTAATTCTTTTTGCATATTTTTATATTAGATTAGAGTAAACACCCTTTTTAGTCCCTGTCAATATCTTCGAAGTCCTTTTTAGTCCCTGGAAATAAAAAAGGACCAAATTGGTCCCTGAAATTACAAAAAAGGGCCATGTTAGTCCTTATGTCAACTCCCAAATATGTAGAGTGACACTTTTCTTGTACTTTCAGGGATTAATTTGGTCCTTTTTTATTGTCAGGGACTGAAAAGGACTTCGTAGATATTGCCAGGGACTAAAAAGGGTGTTTACTCATCAGATTATAATTATCATATTTTTAATATTTTAATTTACACTATTTGTCTAATTGTTCTCGCCAATACTTTGAAAGTTGAAGACTAATGACAGATGTTAATCATATTATCATAACAAATCTCATTATTATTGTTTTTTTTTTATAAAAAAATCTCTACCCACGCTCACACAATTTCTTTGTTTGATCAAATTTTCATATGAGTATTTGTTTATAATTTCAGCTCATTTAATCTATTATTGTATTGATAAGGATGGACGAATCTATGTTAAAAATAGGAATATATAGATTCAAAAATTTATTGCAACAGAAGAGTAAAGCTAAACATATATAACATAAAAAAATTCATTAATTAAAGAAATTATTTAAAAAATATATCCTATGATGTGAAGTTCTTAGATATCTCAAACTATTTTAATATGTTTCTACTGGTATGAACTACTTTAATTAAGAAGGATTAACAAACAAAATTATGCTGAAAGCTATTCGCGTCAAGATTGTAACAAAAAAACCATGCGCCATCTTAGCGAGAGAAACCACCGCCAGTCAATGCGGCACAAAGATATTGTTATCCCATCCTTTTCATCTCTTTCTTCATCCATAAATTAATTAGGCCTTTGGATTGGTGTCCTTTTTAGAAAAATTTACTTTTAATTGAAAAAAATGTTTAAAATTATCTGTATATCAATCAAATAATTTTTTTTTAAAAAGGAAAAATAGTAAGTTTAATATTTAAAGAAAAAGAAAACACTTTTAAAAATATTTTTAAAAAATAAACATACTTTTTTTCTAAATTATATAAATGCATCCTTAATCAAAATTTTAATACATACACAAGAGTTTTTATCAAATATCGATGCTACCATTGCTTTCAATTTAAGCTATGACGTACAGATCATAGAAAATATGATAACAAAAGAAAATTGGGGAAATTGACTTTTATGACACTGACTACTGACTGACTAGAATGCATATTACATTTTTTTTTTTCGGTAAACAAATGCATGTTACATAAAGTCAGACCTAAACTTCAAGTGCGAACGGTTGGGCCATCAATGGGGGAGATTTGGAGATTGCTATAAACGCCGTTTGTGTTCTCTATCATTTATACGCCTGGGAAGCAGATATAATTAGAGGCAAAATTTTACTTTCATTTCTTGAGATTATATTATTTATCACTTATTTTATTTTAAATTTATCATTTCGATCCATTATAATTTCAATATGTATCAACTAATATCTGGAATACCGAAAATTACTCTTATAAAATAAAAAATGGAAAAAATTCCCGTAAAGAACAAAATAATAAATTATAAAAAATATTATAAGGGAAAAAAGTTTCCGATGTTACTTTAGATAACTTTATCTAATGTTCATCGAAACGACGTTGTTTTGTGGTTGAAAAATTAAAAAATTAGAGTGATAAAGACTATTATAACCCTAAAATAAATTAAAATTACAAAAATACCATGATTTCCGTCCCAAAACGACGTCGTTTTGATGAACATTAGATAAAGTTATCTAAAGTAACATCAGAAAAAACAAACTCATATTATAAATACCCATAGTTAAAAACAAAATCCTAAAATAATATCCTTATATTATTTCACTTCCTATTTTATCTTACTTCTAGACAGTATAAAAAACAATATTATGACATACAAAATAATATTTGAACTAATATTAACTATATTTTCAAATTATTCATAAATTTATAATTTGAAATATTCAAGTTTATAAATATAGATATTTTAGTTTTAAAATATATAGAGAAATATTTTTAAAATGGTAAAATTTATTTTGTTTCATAAATTCTTATATTATCATTTTATTAGTTTAAAAATGAATTGTTTTTTAATACATAATTTGTATTATATTTTAAGATTTTGTTTTTAATTAGGACTATTTTTATATTCCATTTATAATTTAGGATTTAGTTTATTAATGATGTTTTAAAATTGTAAAAGTGAAGTTGTTCCAGTTTTAGATAGTCAAATATTTTGTAATCAGGATCATGTTTTTAGAGGCAGAAACAAGAATGAAGAAGGAGGAAAGGTTATGCCCCGTGTCTGCGGGTGGCTAAGAGGTACAACTGCGGTGGCCAAAGGTATAGGCTATGTCCAAAAAAAATGACAAACAAACAACCAACTGGGATTAATAATATTCCTGTTCAACAATTTTATTCTTTCTTTAATTATGGCTGAAATCAACAATTTTTCTTGTGTTGTAACTTGTACGTATCTTCGTTCAGTCTAATTTTTTTTTTCTCAGGCCACTTGGCCTATTTAGTAAAATTAATGAGATACTAACTTTTAACTCAAGGTTCAAACTCCAGCAGTCAAATCAAAAAACACAACTGATTAACTATTAGATCAAACGATTACTTATATTTCTTAGTCACAATTAATGAGCTGTAGCTTAAGTGTCAACGGTCAGAATTGTTGGCTAAAATATTTCCCATTCACAATCTCGAGAACATCTTTAGTCATTTCGCAGCAATGGGTTCAAAATAAAATTATAAATTATATATTATGAGAAATATATCAGATGTGTCGTGCTCCTATTGATATGGTATGATGTAAGATTTTTTTGCACAATCTCAAAGTATATATATATATATATATTCCCCTGTATATGTTCTCTCTTCACCAGTTTAGTTTTTTTTGCTGTTCTTTTTTTATCAAACAGTTTCGTATACGGCATTCACATTGGTGCATCGAGTTGAACTCCAGCATGAGGCCTGTTACAAAGTTCAATGGTTTTCATGAGCAGCCAAAGAAGGTGATTAATGGTGCACGTCCTTCCTCGTTGTTGATCAACAAAGATTCCCATTTGATACGCAAGCCTTCAGTTTCTTCAACAAATTTTGTTGCACAGAACAAACATCAGAAGGTTCCCATCATCATTTACACACAATCACCCAAGGTTATCCACACCAAGCCCCAAGATTTCATGGCTTTGGTTCAAAGACTAACGGGTAAGTCAAGCACAAACGGTGACGTATCCACTGCCACCACTGTCTCGCTGCCTCATCAGCCAAACCAAGAGGCCTCTTTAAATTCTGGGTCATCTTTGTCTGATGTGTCTAACAACAAAAGCATCAAATTGAAGTGGATGCACCAAGGTGCTAGTGATGGCGATGAAACTAACTCAGCTCTTAGGAGGGATGATAAGACTTGTGTGAAGGGTGGTGCAAGTTTTCAACATAGTCCCTCTAATCTGGATTTTGCTGATATGCCACTGTTCACTCCAAATTCCTCAGTAGTGTATAAATATTCAGATTCTCCATTTGGGATTTTGGGAAGTTTGATATCTCCTTCTGGGTTGGAATTCATGAAAGAGCTGCCTGAGTATTGACATCAATTGATTTGGATGCACGGTTGTTGTTCATATGCACGAGGATTCAACTTGGTTTAATTTCATTAAACAATAGATTAGTTTCTGTTTGGTCTCTTTAATTATTATTATTTTTTGTTATTTCTTTGTAAATTTTGTTATATTATAGCATTATGGAGCTGATCAGCTATGACACTGGGTACGATGAAATTAGTGTGAATTATGATGAGATTTAATTGATTCTTTCTGGACATAAGATGAATAAGTTCATTAATTTGATTCTGTCACCGTAATTCCATTATTTCTCTATATTATGTTTTCCATGTTTCTTTCTCATTACGTAAAAGCTACTAAATCCGTAACCTTGTTTCTTCTGTGCATTATTAATTTCATTTCTGATCAACCGAGTGGAATATCCATTCAGTTATCCTATTAGAAGAGCTGTACCTACGAAAGCAAAAGTCAACTCCATGCTTATCCATCATACCATTTTTTTAACTACAACTTGGAAGTTTTCTATTGGTGAGCTTCTAATATTTAACATTTGGTTAGAGTAGAGCTTGATCATTGGCCCCACCTGTGCCCCCCCCCTTCTCCTCATCATTGTTTTTTTTTCTTCAAAGCTTTATGTTTCGTTTTCGTTCTTTGTTACAATTCAGTTCATAACAAAACAGCAGTCTGAAAACAAATTGGTTAATTAGCAAACCTTCAAATCTTTTCCTTCCCTTTTTTCCCCCTTTATATATGTTATAGCACAAAGTAAATTATAATCTTCTTCCATATCTTTACTAATATAGAAACATCAATCACTCAAGTTATTTATTTGGATAGCTAAGAATGAATGCTGGAAATTACCAACAAAATGTGTTATATCATTATTATAATACATTTAGGAGAATTTTATTAATTAAATCATTAAATTTATAATATGTATCATTTATGGTTGAAGGGGAAGAAAGATAAAAACTTTCGAGATTAGATGCTAATAAGAGGAGGTAATTAAGTTGTGGTCATGAAAGCCTTTGACCTTAAGTTGTGTATCAACAATGTGTGGTTGAACAAAGTTTGTAAATGCTCAAGTCGATGCTTGACTGGATGCATAGCCAGTATAAAAAAAACCTTGCTCTTGGTGTGTGGATGATATTACGTTTCAAGCAATTGATTCTTTTTGAGTGGTTGGTTAAATACTTGGGGAGAAGAGAATACAAAATCTTGGCTTCGGAATAGTGCCATGCAGATGCAGGAACAAGTATGAAATTGTTTTTTTTTGGAGAAAAAGTATTAAATTGTATTAAGGCATTTAAGCGGTCATGCGGTGTAACCCTATTGAGTATTGACCTCACTTATTACAGGATAAGAAGAATATTCCATAGTGTAAATAAAATACATTGATCCTTCAGGATAATTCACCATAAAGTTTATTCCTTAAAAGCCTGCCATTCAAGTAAGAATTAAGGAAAGTCACCAACAAGCAAAGATATTATTTGAGTCAAATTCTATCCAATCTTTGAAGTCAAACAATCCCTCTTTCCCTCAGTAGAATATCATTTTAATTTGATCTCCAGTTGTAGAACATTGCCCTCAGCTTTGCTTCTTGTGATTTGTTAAACGTCAAAAACTACATTTATTAGTTTAGAAAACTTAAACGGAACTCTTTTTTTTTGAAGTACATGGGAATCGAACTGCAACACACACCCACTAAACACTACGTACACACCCACTAAACGTCAAAAACTACATTTATTAGTTTAGAAAACTTAAACGGAACTCTTCTGCTTGGAGCCAAACCCATATCAAGTATGAACGCAATCCATAGTTTAATGTACGTACATCAGATTTTGTTGCTTATCAGGATCAATAAAATTTATAAATGACGAGAATTACGTTAAGCTAGCCTCATGGTGCTAGAGATTTTTGGACCTTGATCAGAAAAGTAAATAAAAAATAAACCATGAAATAAAAAATCATACAATAAATAAAATAAATAATTATTAAAAGTGTAGGAACTATTGGATTTATGCGGAAGCGATTTAGGACCTAGTATATTGGTATGCTTACCGAATCATCCTCGTTTCACAATTACCTCTTGGTGCTTGGTGCGCAGATCTCGGGTAGAATCTTCCCTTGTATGATTCCTCTTCACGAACTACTCACCTCAGCACCGCAGCACGAACAACCTCCTTGTAGCTGGACTGTGGCAGATCTTCCGGACTATGTCTCAAGGGAAAATGGGAAGTGTGTGGGCATTCTCTCACTTTCAGGGAGATGACCTTACCTCAGCCTCTGCAATCATAAGTGAAGACTAAAGAGGCTGATGACTATAAGTGTAGAATATATATGGGTTTCAAGAAATCCTAACCCTAAGCAGAATGAGTTTTAGATTTTTTTGGCTCTTCTTACACACTAGGTCCTATTGGGCTTTAGTGAAAGAGCAAAACCCAACAAAAAGTGGTTTAAAAAATTATATCTTTATTTAAAGAGAATTTCAAGAAAATAAATGTTAAAAAAATAAACTAAACAATAAAAAGAAAAACATATTAAAGCAGTGTTTTAAAATCCAGCTCGGACCGGCCGGGTCGACCCGGGACTCGGTGACCCGGTGGGTTCCCCGGTCCGAGCGGATAGTTGGACCGCTTCTGCAGTCAATCCGGATTGGACCGGTTGACCCGACCGAAATCCGGTAACCCGGGTTAGACCGGTTATTCCTTTTTCTTTTTCTTTTTGGTAATTTATTTTTTTGTTGATAAGAACTCTTGAATTAAATCATATTCATATTTTATGATGAATACGATAAAAGTAAGGTGAAAATAATAAGGTATTTTAGATTATTCAGTTCGTTTATGTAATTTAGTTGCATCTAATAATGATCTCATGAAGTTAAGTGGTGATAAACACTGATAGTCTCATGATCTTATCTTAACGGTGGACACTTTTTTCTTAGTGTATATTTCATGCATACTATTTGTCATCATGATTTAATTTATCTGTATCATGTCAAGAACAAAAGGTGCATTTAACTTATATTGCAATTTTAATCCAATATTAGGATATGGTCTAGAGCTAGAAGCTTAGAAGTATATAATATTTGCTATCATTGAAAATCAATTTATTTTTTGAAGCTCATTGATAGTTTTCTTATGTGAATTTTTATTAATATAAGTAATATTTTTATATTTTTAATATGTGAACAGTAAATCCGGTTCAACCCGGTTGAACCAGTGACCCAGTACCTCGACTGGTTCGATGACCGGTTCGAGTTTTAAAACATTGTATTAAAGAAAGAAAATAAATAAATCACTTGATGTCAAAATGTCTTTAATTATGTTCGATCCTCCTCAATATCACTTTTGTGAGGGGTTTAAATTCTTAATCTCGTAATCCGCTCCAAATTAGACTAGTCGCGAAGGGATGAACCGATTGGAATATCTTAAAAAAAAACTTTAATTACAAATGAGCTATATATTTCAACAGGATAAATTATCACGAAGAAAATGGACATGCAAATTCAAACTTATTCTGCGTTTTATTTTTATAATAATTTAAATATAATTACATCATACGACAATACGCGTATTATGGATATAACGTACAACGTAACTATGTTTTGCTTATTGATACAACATTCAACGTAGCTATATATTTAATTAATTACATCATACGCGTATTATTGATTTTATAATAATGAAAATTGTTTTGCTTTTTTTTTTTTTCCTTCCCCTTATGATGTAGTAAGTTTTTTTTTGGAATAGTGATCAAAGTGCCACTGTTCACCAATTTTTTTACCTAAATGCCACGCAAACAGTTTTATTTCCCAATCTGCCACGGGGGCAAGCTCGCTACTCGGTGTAGCGAACTTGGTTTGCTGACGTGTCACGTTTCTAGTGGATAACAAGTACGAAAGTAAAAAAATAAAAAATTGAAGGTCGCTACATGGGGAAGCGAACTTGGTTAAAACAAAGTTCGCTACCCCGTGTAGCAAACTTGGTGTTCACTAGAGACGTGACACGTCAGCAAACTGAGTTCGCTACACCGAGTAGCGAACTTGCCCCCGTAGCAGATTGAAAAATAAGACTGTTCGCGTGGCATTTAGGTAAAAAAGTTGATGAACAGTGGCACTTTGGTCACTGTTCTGTTTTTTTTTTTGGGTAATCGATGTAGGAAGAATTTAATGCAACGCAGAGTTTGGAATTTCCTTTTAGTTTTGCTTTTCCGTGATCAAATCTTTCCTTAACTACTAGTGTATACAATGTTTACAATAATCTGGAATGTTATATATACGTTAGAAACGTGTAAGTATAATAAAATAAAAATTTCGTACAAGATCTGATCATGGAGTGAAAATGTAGCGCTCTCGGCCCATTGGTCCTTCAAGATAGAAAAAAGTAGAGAGAGAAAGAGGAGAGAAGCGAGAGAGAGAGGGAGAAGAAAAAAAAAACAGACCATGGAATAAAATTCTCTGATCATGACCTCTTAAACAAAGAGTTACTTGTCCAGCGGTCTTCGCTTGTACAAGTTCAGCATTCGGTAATTTCTGTTAATATTTGTTATTTATCATCAGTATGAGAGTTGTATCAGATGATTGTATTTATCAGTAGAAGAGTTAGTTAGAAAGATAGTTAGCTTTGTAGAGTTTGTTAAAACTGAAGTTAGTTCAGTCAGTTTATTTTGTTTTCACTCCATGTATATAAATGGAGTAACTGTCCATATTGTACTCACTTTTCATTAATGCAATATACAGATATGAATTCTTTAATCGTTTTTCTCTCTTATTCCTTGGGTTCTAATATGGTATCAGAGCTTTGAGGGAGGAGCTCTAGTATTTTCTTGTTATCTGAATCCTTTCTTTCGTCAGTTCCTTGCGTGATTTCCTTCTTAATCACTATGGCGAATTCGAATTCAAACCAAAGCTCCCTCCTGGATCATCTCACGAACCCAGGCAATACATTGTATTTGCATTCGTTAGAAAATCCGAATCTTGTTCTAGTTACTCCTCTTCTCAATGGCAAGAATTTTCGTTCTTG